AAAATACACTAACCAGGTATAGATCAGAAAATTTAACTATTAAACATGGAGTTCCTCGAGGCTCCATTCTGGGGCCTTTATTATTTCTGTGTTATGTCCAAGGAATGCCTTCAATTTAAAAAAATATTTTAGGAACAAAAAGTCAGTTAGTACTTTATGCTGATGATGCAAACTTGATAACCACTGCTAAATCTTACCTTGACCTTGAAAAAGCGTGTCAAGAGCAATTAAAAATTATTGAAAATTTTTTTATACAAAACAATTTATTTCTTAACGGCAATAAAACTAATCAAATGATTTTTTCTACAAAACAAAATAAAAATGCTCGAGAAATAGATATTTTAGTGGGGGGAAGTAAAATATAATCAATTAAAATTACCAGATTTTTAGGAGTTATGAAGTTGACAATAATCTTAGTTGGGACCAACATACACTAAAATTGGCTAACAAAATTGCAACGGGTATATATGTTCTTTCGCACATATCCACTCTCACATATCTTATGGTGTAGTTGTTTGTGGTGGTACAAGTAAAGGCAACTTAGATACAATCTTGATATTTCAGAAGGAAGCTTTGAGAATTATATTAAATCTAGAAGACGAAGTATCAGTGAAAAATAAATTTTCTGAGCTTAATATTTTGACAGTTTATGACCAATATACCCTTGAATGTATAATGTGTGATAGAAATAAATATAATGAACTAGCTGTACCCACGGGCTTTGCCCGTTTAACTTCATAAGTATTCGCATGGCTCAATCATGTCCCGGTTGAAGTTCGTTCGCTACACTCACTCACCTTTAGGTTGGAGCTCGTTCGCTGTGCTCACTTATTTTCAGGTTAGCTCGTTCGCTACGCTAACTCGCCTCCAGGTTGATGTTCGATCGCTACGCTAACTCGCCAACAGGTTGATGTTTGTTCGCTACGCTCACACACCTTTTGTTTGCAAATTAGCTGTTGTCATAAATTTTAAAAAGTCATCCCTTTTATTGTTTATAATACTTTGATAAAGGTTTTTTTGTTTTAATATTTAATATTGGAGAATTTAAACGTTGTTAAGTGCACAGGTGTGCTGCGATTGGGGTTTAATACATTTGGACTTATTCAAAAGTAAAATAGTTTTTTGTGCTGCACTCTGTAGAAACACTGTGGCACTATTTCAAATCATGACTAATGCTAATACAGAATGTTGTAATTATTCAAACCTACAAAACAGTTGGTGAAAGTAAACATCTGCTTTTAAATTATATTTATTTGTAAACATTGTAGATCAAAAAGTCTGACATTGGCCCACTTAAAACCCTCTGGGGCAGAGCCCTTTTGACAGATCATCACCAAACTTCACTCGAAACATCCTTGAAAGATGCTTAATAATGCCTGAAAGTTTCATTACAATCTGTCGAGCGGTTTCGGAGACCATAACGTGTATACATACATATATATATTAGCGAATTTCCCTATAGGGAAGTAGCTATTACCGTAGGTGGCACAGTAAGACCTAGACCCGGGACCGATTTACTTTTTCATTTTGATGTCCCCAGAGGCCAAAAACACCATTCGTTCAAATTTTTATACATGTATATATATATATATATATATATATATAGACTTATATATATATATAGACTTATATACAGGGTGTCCCGTAACTCTCTGGACACTTGTATATAGCGTTATTCCTTAGGTCAAGACAAACACATTTCACCATAGGAACATGGGTCTGTGGTGTCTAGTTTACCGACTGTCGGTATTTATGTGTTTTTTACAAAAAAACTAATAACTCCTAAACGGTTTGAGATACAGCTTTGATATTTTGCAAAAATGTTAATCTTATTAAGACCTATTATCGTTAGAAATTATACTAAAAAATCATTAACCGTTTAAAAATGGCAGCCAATTAAAATATTTGATGCCAAATTTCACGAAAACCGTTAACTTTACAAAAAAGTTGCAAGGGACAAAAAAGTTTGTAAATTTTATGTAGTTTTCAATGATACCTGATTTGTTAAGATTGGATAAATAATAACAGAGAAATGTCTTCTTTTCTAAACGCATGACCACTTTTCTCCATTTAAATAATGCTTAACAACGTAAAAGGATTATTAATTGAATGAATAGATGTCACACATGGCGGCCATCTTGGATTTACGACGTCATAAAGCTAAACAGTGCAATTTGAAGGTAAACACCCGGTACTACACCATTATGTGACATATAATAAAGAAAGAGATACTCCACATAGTCACACCTTCCCTTCACAAAAAATCCCACGGAATACAGTTTGCCCCGGACTATGTATTATGTTTTCTTTATTTCATCTTAACCATAGATTTTAACTTAAACAATCAATAGTTTCATTTTATACTTAGGAAAGTCAAATGGGATGAAGCCCATGGGTAACAGCTAGTTGTTATTAATATTATTTTTTGTTGTCACAAACATATATATCATCGTTATTATTTTTATTATTTATTGTTCTCTAGGTTGGTCCATGTGACATTTATTGTATACGTATTTTCATCAACTATGTATTTATTTCTCGTTACTCTTAGTTATTTCATTGTCCAAGCATTTGCATATGTACTGTATTCTTATTTTTGTTACTTTTGATATTCCTCTCATTATTATTATCTATATACTATTAAGTCATAATGAGCAATTCACAACTTGTAATCAAACTGTAAAATTGGTGTAAATCCGTTGGTAAATAAATAAATAAATACAAAGCCCACAAAAAATTGATACATTAACAACGTAAAGCTTTAAAAATTCACGATAGTTTGCTAAAAAATCTTTTTACTTAATGTGTTATCATTTTCAGCATGAACTAACATTTTGGATTTGGAGTCCAGACAGAAAATGCAAAACTACTTACTTTCCGTGTCCATAAATCAGACTTAGCTCTTCCTAAAACTAGCTACCGATATGGCTTTGTCATTCGCTTGTAAAAGATCATCTAATTCTAATTTGCAAGGCTGGTCTAGGTGTGGACAGATCAGCAGATGGCCTTCTTCGTCTGGTAAGAGACCCCATTTCTGCATTCTTCTTATTTAATTTTTCGGCATTTAATGTTATTATTAGTTTTTAACAGGCATCTACAACTTGACTGATCACTTATTGCAAACGAAAAAAACTGGGAACTAGAAGAACTAGTTTTCTTGACGTATACGATCTGTCGTCTGTTTTGTTTCGCTCTCCCGCTTCACTTAGATCTTGGCTGTTTGATTAGCTTAACCTTCTTTAACTTTTTGTTCTTGGTACAATGTTTTTAAAAAGAAGTTCTGAATTTCTTGTGGTAAATTATAAATTATGTGTCTGGTAATGAAAAAAACGATCAAAAGGACTTTGGTTTTATACACTATTGTGACTGAACAGTACAACTAAAATCCGATTATTTTACTCTGGAAAGAGTTATTATTAATTTAATGAATAGATGTCACACATGGCGGCCATCTTGGATTTACGACGTCATAAAAACCAAACAGCGCAATTTGAATCTAAACACCCGGTACTACACCATTATGTGACATATAATAATGAGAGTCCACATAGTCACACCTTCCCTTCACAAAAAATCCCACGGAAGTTAGAAATGTGCAGTTTGCTCCTGGACCAACAGTAATACAAACAAAATCACACCTGATTTTAATAAGGTAATAAATTGAAAGAATAACAAACAAATAAGTACAGCTGATGTATTTTTAACATTATGTAAATGGAAAGTTCCCTGTAGAAAGGAATTACAACTTTAGGGCAATTTATGAAATAATGGATAGTTTTGCACAAGGTTTCTCGCCATTTTGGATTTATATATGGATAACAATTATAAATATTTGAAGTGAATAACTATTGTAAGTTATTACCAATCTAAAACGTCTTTTGTACTATGTTTCATAAAGTTTGTCGTCATTTCAACACCATTAGAGTCATCTTCGGAATTAGCAAAGCAAATATGAACTAGTGGCCTGTAGGGACATAAGTCCCTAAAAAGCTCAATAATGTAAAACAAATTATTCTAATATTCAAACACACTCAGAAATATATTATCTATGTGTCAGAATAGATATCCCTGTACACCATATCTTTTGTGTAAAATCCCCGTTTTTTGACTGTCTTTGTGTGCTTTTGTTGATGTTATTTTCAATAAATAATTTGAATCACTCCATAGGTTTAACTCTGCTAAAGGCAGCAAACATATAATTGTTTGTGAATAAATACTGGTTTACTAAGATAGCTTTGGTCTTGTGGTTAATGGTGATAAAAAAGGCTTCCCTGATTGGAATTTTGGAAATTGTCTTTGTCAAATATGAAAATATGTGTTGAGATAAGCTTAGTTCTTAGTCAAACCCGCTAAATTAGCATCCCTACCCAGTTTATATTTTTAAGCGTATACTCCTTTTGTTAAGGCATAACACAATTAGCGTAAAGTAAAGGTATTGCATTGACTAAACTTAACCCTAGATTTTTTTCTTATAAACATAAAAAATACAATTAAGTGTAAGATTATGTGGTTGTATTCCTCTTACTATAACTCTTTTGGCAACTGGTTAAGGTTACTGTTGATTCCACTAATTTTACTAATAAAAGTTCACATTTTGTATAAGAAAATATAAAGTAAATTTTTATTAAATCACAATCTGTAAGTAAACATAAACAGTTCAACAAGTAAACAAAAGAATAATTTGAACACATGTTAGAAATAAAATGTAAATAAAACATATGTTAACACCTCCTCCTCTATTTACTGTGCTGAGGAACTCTGCGAAGAATCAGCTGATCAACATGTCTTCTAATTATTCGCCCATCTTCCAGCTGAACTACGTACATTACATGTCCTTGCTTTTCAGTTATATAGCCTGAGTACCACTTGGATGATCCATTGACATATTCCCGCGCTTGAACCTTATCTCCAACTTTTAAATTCCTTTTTATACCGACTTGGAGTCCCTTGTTCTGAAATTTGTTCGGTTCTAATGTTGGAACAATTATTGCGAGGTTTGTTCATACACTCCTTCCAAACATTAGGTGGTATGCTGATGTACCAGTTGAATTCGGGGATTGCCTGAGTTGCATTACAAGTCTTTGGATTTTATTTTGCAGTGTACCCTTTTCTCCCTCCATTGATTTTAACGCCTTCTTGACAGTCTGCACGTATCTTTCAGCCTGGCCGTTTGAGTTTGGGTGATATGGTGCCGTTGTTCTGTGAACAATCCCACATTCATTCATGAAGTTTTTGAACTCTTGGGAAACAAACTGTCTTCCATTATCTGAAACTAAGATTTGAGGAAACCCAAAAGTTGAAAAGATTTTCCGTAATTCTTGGACTGTCCATGTACTTGTAGTTGTTCTTGTCTGTATCACCTCCACCCACTTACTAAAAGCATCCACTAATATGAGGTACTGTTGGCCATCTGTTGGTCCTAAGAAATCGATGTGCACTCTCTCCCATGGATTAGTAGGTTGTTCCCATGGATGGATAGTTTTTCTCGGGTTGTTGCATTGTTCTAAGCATTGTCGACATTCAGCTACCATCTGTTCAATATCCTTGTCTATACTTTTCCACCAGCAAAAACTGCGAGCTAAAGCCTTCATTTTTATTTCTCCTAAATGAGCTACGTGTAATTCTCGAAGCACGTGAGGTTTGAGGGATTGAGGTATCATGACTCTCCAGCCCTTCAGTACACAATCATCTTGAATGGACAGCTCGTTATCGTGAAATCCATATTGTTCGACAGATTGTCCTGATTTTAAGGCCTGTAGGACTGGACCCAACACAGAATCGTTGATAGTTTCCTTAGCCAACACGGTACTGTTGACATTAAGTGTTTCTAGTTGGTTTATGTGGTACTTAAGAGGTCATCTATTGCATTTTCTTGTACAACTTCGGTAGGGAAACGTGAGAGATAATCTTCATTGCTATGATGAGCAGTTTGCCTGTATTCTATGTCATAGTTGAACCCGGAGAGAAAGTGAGCATAGTTGAATATTCGTGTTGCTGAGATTGTTGGTAAGGTCTTTGCTGGATTAAAAATTGAGACTAGCGGTTTGTGGTCTGTAATCAAAGTAAACTTGCGGCCATAACAAAATGGGAAAAACTTTTTCAGGCCCCAATATATTCCCAAGTCTTCCTTGTCGATTTGAGAGTATTTTTGTTCTGATTTTGTTAAAGATCGAGAGGCGAAGGCAATTGGTCTGTCCGTTCCATTGCTATAGCGGTGAGACAGAACGGCTCCCACACCTACCGGTGAAGCATCAGTAGCTAAGACCAGAGGTAAGCTAGGATCAAAGTGAACCAAAACGTCGTCACTTGTGATAATTTCCTTAATCTTCTGAAAACTCTTTTCACAAGATGAATTCCAATTGAAAGGATTTCCTTTTCGTAGCAGTAGGTTCATCGGATGTAGTAGTGTTGCCAAATTCTTTATGAATTTGTTGTAATAATTTGCTAGGCCCAGGAAAGTTCGGAGTTCAGAAACGTTTTCTGGCCTTTTACATTTCAGAATGCTCTGTATCTTGGTATCTGACTTATGTAGCCCTTTGCTATCGATCACATGACCTAAATACTCAATTTTCGTCTGGAAAAACTTGCATTTGTCTCTATTTAGCCTCAAATCGTTTGTCTTCAGTCGTTCGAACACCTGTTTCAGTCGGCGAAGAAGCTGTTCCCGGTTAGATCATCGAAGAAACATTGTACACCTTCTAAGCCATGTAATGTTTTGTCCATGAATCTCTGCCATAACAAGGGTGCCACTTTTACTCCAAACATTAATCGGTTCACCTTAAACAGCCCTTTATGAGTACTGATTGTTTGCATTATGGCACTGTTTTCGTCCATCTCCAGGTGCAAGTATGCATTACTGATATCAAGAGTACAAAATATCTTTCCACAATGCATCTTTGACATGATATCGTCGATCCGAGGTATAGGGTAGTGTTCGTCTTTGATGACTTTGTTCAATGTCACCTTGTAATCAGCGCATATTCTGACTGAACCATTTGGTTTGACGACCGGAACAATTGGTGTGCCCCAATCAGATGATTCGACTTGTGTGATTATACCCAAAGTTTCCAGTCGTTCAAGTTCTTTCTCTACTTTTTCTTGTAATGCATATGGCATGTGTCTTGGTTTGATGTAAATTGGCTGGGTTTCGTCTTTTACATTAAAATGGCCTTTTTCGTTTGGTATTTTCCCAATGCCTTCTTTGAAAATGTCTTCGTATTGAATCATCAGTTTATCTAGTTCTTGAATCTTTCATTTTTTCCACTTGAATCTAATGAATGTATGTCAGCTGCATCAAGCTGAATCTCTCTTATCCATTCTCTTCCGAATATAGAGTCTACACACTTGTTTACAATGTACAGTTTTCCAAACAAAACTTTGATCTTTGTACTGAACATCTACAAAAACAACTCCTCTTGGATTGATTATTTCTCCAGTGTATGTCCTGAGTTGAACATTTGTTTTGAAAATCCTTTTTGGAGAATTTAAAAGTTTAAATGTATCATATGATACAATGCTGAGAGCCGCTCCTGTATCTAATTCCATTGTCATGAGTCGTCCTTCCACTTTTACCTCAAGCATAAACTTGTCATTTGATTTTGAATGAAGTTGGTAAATTTCATGAGTGTCATCACTTGTATTTTCTACGGTTTCATCTGATTGTTTTACTTCTTTGTTTGGTTTCCTTAAGCACACTCTTGCTAAGTGACCAAAACGTTTACACGAGTTGCATTCTGCATTTTTGAACTTACATTGATGAGCTCTATGTGAATCATCACCACATCTATAGCATTTGTTCCTCAGTTTCTCAAAACGAGATTGATAATCAGAGTTGTATATGATTAGATTTACTTGACTTACTATCCAGGTGTTTGTTCTTGCTCGATACTTGGTGTACTTCCTCTCGATTTTCATTTGTCTTAACTATTCTGCTCTCACTTTTCGCTAGTTCCAATGTTCCAATGGCCTTCTCGACTACTTCTTTAAACGGTTGCAATAGTTTATCTTGAAGAAGATGAAGACGTATATCAGAGTCTCTTAGTCCCCTGACAAACTGCATTCGAAGTAGAATTTCAGAAACGGATTCATTACAATGTGTACAAGTAAACTGGCATTCGACACTGAGCTTTCGAAGAGCATTTGCGTAAGCTTGTACAGATTCATTACATAGTTGAGTACGTGTTGTGAATTTGTGCTGACGAGCCCAAATACTGGGTTTTGGTTCTAGTTGTGCCATCAACAGATGAATCAATTCCTCATATGGCTTGTTATGTGGATCATCTGGTATGCAAAGATCGTAGAGCTGTTCGTGTATTTGTGGGGTGATTGATTGTAAAAATAAATCCACTTTGACCTTTGGACTTAAGTTTCCCCGTAATTTTGTGTAGTTTTCAAAGCGCCGAGTGAAGTTTTGAAAACTCTTGTGTATATGGCTGGAAAGGAATATTAGATACATGTTGAGATATTGTAGAGGCAGACATTGCAGTTTGTGTATTGTACTTTTTCTTTTCTGCTTCAAAGGAATGTTCGTATCTCTCTATGTATTTCTTCTAACTGCCATCGAATTTCTAATTCACTTTCTACTGAATTCGTGTGAAGTTCAATATTTGACCGTGTAGCTTCGAGTTCAGTCCATATTGCTGAAAGTTTATCGGTATAGTAAGTGCATGTATCTTGAGAATGTTCACATGTATATCAATCATCCTTGAGTTTGTTCAAGCGTAGTTCTAGCAATTTCCTTTTCTTGAGATACAAATCCAATTCTTTTCTACTTACCATTTTACTCGTCGCCATTGTTGATTCCACTAATTTTACTAATAAAAGTTCACATTTTGTATAAGAAAATATAAATTAAGTTTTTATTAAATCACAATCTGTAAGTAAACATAAACGATTCAACAAGTAAACAAAAGAATAATTTGAACACATGTTAGAAATAAAATGTAAATAAAACATATGTTAACAGTTACATTACCCAGTTATCGAAACCAATCACTAAATTACTTTTCATCAGCATTGACATGCATATGTTTGGTGTGTTTAAGAAACGTAAAGAAACGGAAACTACCTTTAGGTTTTAGTATTATATGTGGATGCTCCCTTTACCTTTTTTATATATCATTCATGCTAGACTATATTATTTTAAACTTTTTTGCTTAGAGCACTAGACAGTACCTGTTTAAAATCACCAACCATATTGTTTTCCGCCCATTGGAACTTGTCATAGTACTTAATTAACAAATATATTTCCTGTATGAACCTATTCCATCTTTATTCCCAGGTGATTTTCTAAGAGTAGCCGTTGAGGTTATTTCACTTCATACAAAATATTGACTAAAGACTACAATAAATTCCGAATTTAAAATGTTAGTAAATTTACAAAGAAAGTGTAGAATAAATCTTGAACATATGTTTTGAAATAAAAACAAAGCAAAAGTTTTCCATTTAATCTTGAATCGTTAATTATTTAGTCAATGTGGTTATTTCATGTTAAACGTAAACGTTAAAAATACACAAATTTGAAAAGTTTTACAGTAAAATAATTTATTTCAATATTCTATAATGTACATAACTAAAAGTGTTAATTATTATAGGTAACGTTGTTTTATATAGTACATTGCAGAATTGACTGGCAATTACGTCATCCAAATGTTAATATTGCGTACCGGCTTAGTGATAAATCCTGATCAGCTGTATTGAAGTAAACAAAAATCAGCAGTAAATGGCTTCTAATGCTATTCTTTTGCAGAACATTTTATGCTATATCTAATTTTGTGTTAAAATTTTGGGAATTTCACTATTTTTCCCGCCGTCACGGGATCGAGATCTTTAATTTGAGCCCTCTCCCATCATTCAACGACTTCCCAGTCGCCCACAATTTTGACGCAAAGAATCGGCTTACGTAATTAATATATAGACTAGTGGCTTGTAGGGACATAAGTCCCTAAAAATCTCAAATGTAAAACAACTTATTGCAAATCCGGTATTTAAACAAACTCAGAATAAAATTATCTATGTGTCAGGATAGGTATCCCTATGTACACTATATCTTTTGTGTAAAAAACAGTTTGTTGTCAGTATTTTTTTGCTTTATTTGTTGATGTTATTTTCAATTAATAATTTAACTCACTCCAGGGGTTTAACATGAAAAGGCAGCAAACATATAATTGTTTGTGAATAAATACTGGTTTACTAAGGTAGCTTTGGTCATGTGATTAATGGAGGATAAATAAAATCTCCCCTGATTGGAATTTTAGAAATCGTCTTCGTCAAATATATATGAAAATGTAAATAATATGTGTTTTGAGATAAGCTTATTTCTTGGTCAAAACCGCTAGATTATCCCAGTTATCATTTCTAAGTTAACTTACTCCTTTTTTAAGGTTTAACAAAATTAGTATAAAGTAAAGGCATCCCATTGACCAAACTTAACCCTAGATTTGTTTCTGATCAACATAAAAAAAACTATTGTAAGTTTACATGGCGGTATTCCTCCTAAAGGTGCGATTGACTTTACATTTGCTATCAAAATAGGCTTAACCATCGGCTAGTTCCTACTTATTTTACGACCAGTTAGGGTTCCATTACCCAGTTAACAAAACCAATCACGAAAATTCTTTTCATCGGCATCTTATACATCCATATTTGTGGTTAGTTTTAAGAAACGGCAACTACCTCTAGGTTTTTTTTTAAATGGATGCTCTCTTTACCACCGTGCATGCTAGGTCATATTATTTTAACCTTTTTTGCTTGGGGCAAAAGGCAGACCTGGTTAAAATATCCTCCAAACAATATGGTTTTCCGGCTATTGGAACTTGTCATAGTACTTACTTAATGAACAAATATATTGCCTATACGAACCTATTTTAACTTTATTTGCAGGTCGTTTTCTAAGAGTGGCCGTCGAGGTTATTTCACTTCATACAACATTTTGACTAAACAATAATCTCAAATTAAAAATGCTAGTAAATATACAAAAAGGTGTAGAATAAATCTTTAACACGTGTTTTGAAATCAAAACTAATCAGAATTTTTCCATTTAATATTGAATCATTTATTATTTAATCAATGTTGTTATTTCATGTTAAACATTCCTTCAACACAACAATAAGCTTCAAATTAGAAGAAAATAACTTGTTATTTATCAGCCATTCTAAGCTCATTTCCTTCTCCTATGATTCTACACTTATCATACGCTTGACTAATTTAATTCAATTTACACAATTTGCAAATTGCACAGTAAAATAATTGACTTCAACTTTCTAAGATGCAGCTAAAAAGTCTTAATCATTATAGGTAACGTTATCCCTGGTTTTATATAGTAGGCCTATACAGTAGGCCTACATCGCAGAATTCGAGAATTGACTGGCAAATGTGTAATCCAAATGTAATATTAATATTGCCTACTGACTTAATGATAAATCACAATCAGGTGTATTGAAGTAAACAAAAATCAGCAGTAAATGGCTTATAATGTTATTCTTATGGAGAACATTTTACGTTGTATCTAATTTTGTATTAAAATTTTGGGAATTTCTATATTTTTCCCGCCATCACGGGGTCAAGACCTTTAATTGGAGACCTCTCCCGTCGTTGTACGACTTCCCAGTCGCCCACAATTTTGACGCAAAGAATCGGCTTACGTAATTAATATATAGATAGATTGTCATTACAGACGGCATTAACACTGCACGATTAGTAGGCCTGAATTTGATTATCATAAAATTTGACTACACTATCAAAAATTTCAAATACTAATTTTGTATGTACCTTGCTTTAGTTAAAGTGTAGCGAATTCCCAAATTCAATTCTGTATTTTTGTGTGTATGTCTGTTGGTAACGCATTAATGTCCTTATTTCTCAGTGTTTCATGGAAAAAACAAGAGCACCTTTGTTAATGAAAATTTCAACCGGAATAATGTGTACAGTGGTGAGGTTAAGGTAGTATTTTAACTACTTTTAACCAGTGTGGAAAGTAACTTTCAATTATAGGCCTATCTTAGGGCTATGCCTCATAGATCTATAAAGCAATTTTTTTCAATCATTGGATATAAAATAAGGACTAACACAATCGGGTGACATTTTATTGTGAAGTATTCATTTTGGCTTGAAACTGTCAGATATTGTATTTGCGAAGGTTTATATGTATTCCTATACAGTGTATTGCCAGCATATCTGGAAAAATGCACACTAAATATGCAAACCAACTCCTGTTCTGAATATAAGAAGGTTTCAACTTACTACAAGATCCCCGTACAATGGGCAGACAGCTAGTTATAGATATTCCCGTTCAGTCCTTTAGTGAAGTGGTGCAAGTCTAAAATATAGCTTCAAGGTCACACTCACCCCTTCACCCTGCTCTACTGGACTCTCTGTGACCTGCACTCTTTTTGTGGTTATTGCCCAACCCCTACCACCCTTCTATTATTTTGCCTTTCTATTCTGACTTTTTTTCAAACATTAAATCTATTGCTTACGTAACAGTACAGCAGTTTATTTTTAAATTATATAACATTACTTTAAAATTAAAACACTAATAGCTATCTAAGTGACAAGAGGCGGAACTATTGAATAGTTTGTTGGAAAATTGCCTTCATACATACAATGGGTGAAAAATATTAAGGCGACGCAGCGCCCATAGTATCTTAAAATATTTAAAGCAGATGAGCACGAGTTGACTTTCATTTGACCTCGGTAGTTGTTTTCTGCTTTGTCTGTTCATTCCAGATGAATTAAATCGTAAAGCATAACAGGCAATAATAATTTATCGGTATTGCATCAAAATGTCTTCTTCTTCAAGCTCAAAAATATTTTTTTTAGGCAAGGCAAAAGTAAAACTCAGTATCAAGAGATGAAAGTTCTGCTACCAACAGAAGCATTTGTAATTTTTTTTTTAAACTCAAGTAGTGTTTTAAAATAAATTTTAGCGTGAAGGCTACAAATTATTCCTAATTCTTTTGTTTTACTGGAACTGGGAACCGAGAACCGTTTTCGGCCAAGAACCGAACTGGAACCGATCCGTAAAAAAATGGAACCAACACATCACTATAAATAAGACTTAAAACTCTAGCAATAATGACCATCTACATACTAATACAGTAGAGTCCCGCAAACTCGGCGTAATGTGGACTGGAAGGGTGCCGAGTTTGTGAAATGCCAGGTTATCGGGAACTAGGGTTAAAAATAAGGACAATACAATTTTTAAGCTTTTTAACCTCCTTTTTTAATATTACAAGTCAGTATAACGTCATCAGATATAGTACAAAAAATCCTTGGTACGAGTTGTGAATGATTTTACTTGAGCTGGCTTGAGTCCATGTTTAACTCGGACTCAAAATATTATTCTTTTTCTGATCCAGGTGATGGTAGAGTTATCCAGACTGCCGGGTTATCGAGTTCCAAGTTTGCGGGACTCTACTGTACCGTCCTATTAATGAGGTAAAGTAGTTTAATGGAAGACCTTACTATCTTTTTTGCAAAGTAAAATTTAATTTGCTTTTAACCCTTGTCACTTCCATTGTTAAAAGGCCAACTAGCCACAGTTAGCCTATGTTAGTCGTTGCGACCTGATCTGCAAGCTTGTCAACAGAATTTTCAGCTGGTTTATTGTACTGTCTGGCACCAAATATTGATGAGCCTACTCTTACATTGGTACTTCCTACTTCTATCTGAAAAAATAAAACAAGTAAGTTAAACACTTTAAAGACACTAACGGCAGTAGTAAACACAAATGAATAGTATCGTTGCGTAAGCCTAAAGGCTTTTTAAATATGTGAACTGTATTTGTAGATGGT